CAACATCGACAAAAAAAAAAAAATTTTCCTTACGGTTTTATCAGTCTATGAATGTAGCATGTCAACAATATACAATGTAGTGATCCAGTATGTTGAACCACAAAAAGGAGTTTCAGACGTAACATTACTACAAAGGTAGCATTTGTAGTGTTTGTGGTTGCTATACTTGTGTCAGAGCCTAAGGACCATTGGCTATAACGTCTAGGTTATTGGCTTATGGTGTTGTATGAAGAAAAGTCAATCAAATCAAGCTCTGTGGAACACTATATTTGAAAGAGAAGCTACCTCTGAATGAACTCCAATGTGCATGCTGCTTCATGTTGGAAGTGCAGGTTAAAATTGTAGTAGGAGGAGAAGACTACTGCAAGGCCAAGAACAAAGGATGTCCCATCACATAACACCTCTTTCTCGATGCTCAACATCCATCGGTTTGCCTGTGCCATATGACCTAAGAAAAAGACAAGTTGGAAACAATAAACAGAGATCCCAGAAATAATGGAATCAGTCTCTTCTGATTATGTTTCTACGGAAGAGGATTAGGGCTACTGCAGAAGAAAAATAATTCTGAGAAAAAAAGTCAGAATTCTGCCTTTTCAGAATTTGAAAAAAAAAAAAAATCTCTTCAAATGTTCTGAGAAATAAGTCTAAATTCTGACTTTTCTCAGAAAAAAAAAAAAAAAAAAAACGCAACCGGCGACAACCTCATATCTAAATAGGAAAAAAAAAGGCGAATATTGAATTATGTTCACTCACTCTCTGGAGAGGGTGGAGGACGTCAGGCAGCTCCGGGCATCTGTGATGCAGCTCGGTTGTGACCGGTTCACAGTGGCTTTGTGCAGCAGAGCCGCAACTTCGGCTGTGAAGAAGTCTGGGGTGAAGGGGAAGTCGCAACTCGCAAGACTCCTTTGCTAGATGCAGAGAAAAAAGAAGCCTATGGTGAAATCCACCATTTAAAAAAAACTAAACAGAAAACATAATGCTGACTCTTAGTAATTTTGGCCAAGTTTAGCACTTTGCCTGTTTTGTTTCTCTTTTGATGTGGAAACTCAACTGAAATAATTTATAGAGCACTTTAACACAACAGAGGAAACTTATAACATGCTAACTCAGACCTGCCATGTTACTTATCCATTCCCCTGATGTTTTAATGTTGATTTAACATTAAATTGAGACAAAGCTGACACAATTTTATCTAATGTTATCTTACAAAAACAACATTTTTCAACAGCGTTTTTGTAAAACTTATAAACAGCAGAAAACTAAAAAGAGAGAAGTCCTCAAATCCCGTTTCTAAATCAGGAACAAAAAAGTGAATAATGTGAACTTACTCTGTGAACAGTGTGGAGGACGTTGGGCAGCTCCAGGCATCTGCAGTTGGCTGAGCAGTTTTTCTGAGGACCGATGGTCTAGAATCCTGTTTTCCCGCACTTTTCTTTCACCTTCCCATAATGCTTAGCAGTTTCCAGTAAAAGTGCAGTAATATTGTAAAAAGAATGACATTCTCTGAAATTGCTGTAATCTTTTTTTTTTCTCCCAGATTGCATTGCAGTTTACAGTATGATACTGTATGGCAGTGATACAGTAAAATACTGTTCAGATTTAACTGTAAATTTACATCAAAGGCTTACAGTGTATAGCAGCATAACTATAGAGATAGCTCAGGATAACCTTAGCCACTGTAACTATAAGCTTGATCAAAAAGGAAAGTTTTAAGCCTAGCCTTAAAAGTAGACAGGGTGTCTGCCTCACGGACTAAAACTGGTAGTTGGTTCCAAAGGAGAGGAGCCTGATAACAAAAAAATCTGCCTCCTATTCTACTTTTAGAAATTCTAGGAACCACTAGTAAATCTGCAGATTGAGAGCGAAGTGCTCTGTTAGGGACATAAGGAACAATCTTTCCGTAAAAGTTTTAAAAAACAATTTACTGGACTTGGTTTCCAAGGTTTGAAGACGTTTCGCTTCCCCTCCAGGAAGCTTTCTCAATTCAATGTCTGGATCCACAGTGAGTTTAAAGCTTTATACAGCAAGGCATTGTATTGCTTGGAAACATGCAAATTGAAACCAACGAGTGGGTTATTTGGTTCCATTGTTAGCCTTTAATATCTGAAACCTGTCTATGATTCTGAAGGTAGGTCGTTAAAGGGGGGGGTTGCCATTAATGGGGGGGGGGGGGGGGTGAGATGTTAAGGCTATATATATATATATAATGTATAGGAGACAATACTATATAAAGCCTGAAACTCACTGCGGATCCAGACATTGAATTGAGAAAGCTTCCTGGAGGGGAAGCGAAATGTCTTCAAACTTTGGAAACCAAGTCCAGTGGATTGTTTTTTAAAACTTTTACCATGACCTGGATGACTGAGAATCTTCATCAGCATAAGGAACAATCATATCTCTGATATAAGATGGAGTTTGGCCATTTAAGGCTTTATATGTGAGAAGGATGATTTTAAATTCTAATCTTGATTCAACAGAAAGCCAATATGCTTATAAGCCAAAAATAAAAAGCTGGGACCTTTTTTGCCTGATTTAGACAGGGGGAACAGATTACAGCAGGTTTTATTTCATCCCATATTGCCAATTGTGGCAAAATTGGATGAAATAAAACGGCTGATTAAAGAACACAAACTGTTTATTAAGGATAGTACAACATAGATAAATTGTAAGTTACTATGAACACAGATATAGATTTAAGTACTAAATTTCAACCAGGAAAGAATTATTTCCTTCTGCATATAGTCTTTAATGATTACACGTGCACTCCATTTTCTATTTCATTTTTATTACAAGTATACAGTTTACAACAGTTTTCAATGGGATGAGAACATTTGGACACTGTGAAACAATGAGAGATTTTTTTAATGAACGTGTGGAAAAGAACAAGGATCTGTTTGCTTTCAGAGGAAGGAGTAGACACTGCTGTCAGCGACCAGCTTTCAAGCAAACGTTTGTGTTTTATTATTAGTTTTAAATCAATATCACTGGCCATATTCTGCTATAACATGTGAAGTAAAGAATAAAACAGTAAAGCTCAACTTTCATACACGTAAAACCTTTCAAATTTCAAGTTCTGCACATTGGAATTGACGCGAAGTTAACTCCGGTTGATCTTCCTACTCCGTGCGCGCTCCCGACGAGGGGATACAAATTTTCGCAGGGATAACTACCTTGGCACGACACCGGTACGCTAAGTTCGCATTCTGCTTATTTTTTTCCATATAGTCAGAGAAACAAACTCAATCCTTTAGTCCTTCGTTTAGCTATGCTGCGGTTGTTTACACTACGCCTTTTCCACCAAAAATGGCGTCTTAGCAACAAATGTCACGTGACTGGCAGAGACCGATTACTTTAATTGGGCACTAGGGCACTGTGCACGACGCTCCGTGTGACGTAATCCCTGAGCCGCGTCAGTGCGGGCAGCCCTGTTCTTAATCAGAGGCTCTGTTCGAAAACCTGGGCTGCATCCTCCAAGGACGCGGTCTACCTAGACTGGATCCTTCGAATTCCTTGAAAATAAGGAGGCTGGAAGAGTTTTGGCTGTAAATTCGAACAGGTCTACCCTTCGGCGGGTTTTACCGCCATATGCTCTGTTGCTTAGCAACCGTGAAAGTTGACACACAAAGCAGGAAAAGAATGAATACCAAGGTTTTCAAAACTGTTTGTTTATTTATTTATTTATTTTATTTATTTTTTTTAAAGTTAAAGTGAACAAAGACTACACTCACAAGAATCCAGAGTGGAATAAAGATTCCAACCACCGGTAGCAGGAACAAATAAAATCAAATGTAATGATAGAAACCTTAGTCAGTTAAATAACATGCTGCTGTCATTCTGCACATCTCTGATGTTGCTGCTATTTTCAAATATCCATCACTGTAAAAATGTCCATAGCTGCATATTGGTTATTTATTCTCCAGTTTTATATTGTTAAAACACTTTACAGTATTGTATTGTTTATATTTTAACTTTTCCCTATTGTGTAATTCTTATACATTTTTCTAAGGTCCACATTTGTGTGACCATTTTTAATAATCTTTCTACTTCTGTAAATTTGCCCATTGTAGGACAATAAAGGGATTTTCTATTTTATAAAAGGGTTAGAAATATATAAGTAAATCTAAACAATGTATGTACAAAATATATCTGCAAAATCTCTAATAATCAACAACAACAAAAAACTTAGTTAAGCATATTGTGCAAAACAGCAATAAGAAGATAAAAATCCTATCAGATTTATAGTCCCCACTCTGCAGATATATTAGAATCTGTCCTTAAATTACAGCCAAACCCATTTATACAGTAACAGATTAAAACCTTTAGATAAACCAAACATTTCCGCCACATATCTGACTCTATAACCATTAAAACAACTATTTTCATTCATTTCAGACAAAACTATTCACAGACTTGTATTATATTAAACTGAACTTCCAATTTTCACCACTGTTCGGCGCCAAGTAACATTTCCTCTTCACTGAGCAAATCCCGATGATGAGACATTATTTCTTTCATTGTGCTATTCATTCATTACAGTAATTGTTAAGCATTTTTAATGAATACATCTTGAATAAAATTATCATTTGTTATTGGAGTTATTGCTGTTGACTTTTACTGAAAAGCATTTTTAATAAATCAACTGTAAATATAATGTTATTGTAGGATTACGTAGGCCTATGTTAAGTGAGTGCATGCCACAGACATCTCTATGCATGGGAACAGAGATTACCCTCCCCGCGCTCAAAGGTGTCCTGGTTTTCCCAAATGAAAATATGGTCATCCTAGATAAAGCTGTAATTCTTCAAGAAAACTGTGGTATTATAATTTTAATGTAACATTTGTTAAAACGTTAAAACTCTAATTGTTTTCTTATGGGGCTGTAATGTCATCTGTGTATTAACAGAATAAAGCTGCTACCCCCTCCACTCTTAATGTGATACCAGTCACTTGAGTGTCTCCCACAAACATGTGTTACTAGGCAACAGCAAACAAACTGGCTGCACGACTACCAAGGAGGGTTTTTATCTAGTCTTAAGCTGCTAAAGCTTTCCTGTAGATCAATTTTCCTCCAGTAGAACTGGCAAAAATGAATTCAGAAATTATTTTGTCTCGGCCATATTATGACACCAGAGCTGCTGCTCAGGGAGTCCAGGAAAAAATTTCTCCTCTGGAGTCAAACAACTTGCAGCTTTCCTCAGACTTAGCCACTGTTGGTTACCAAATCATCCTTGAACAAGCCGGTACCAACTGCCACAAATCCCAGAATATTCAGCAGGAGTCCAGGACTTTATGCCAGGAAACTACGGCTGATGCTTTCAAGACCCAGGCTGAAAGAACACGTCTTCTTGGAGAAAGACTCCAAGAGATCCACTACTGGAAGTCTGAGCTGCAGCGGCACATCGAGAACCTGCAGGCCAACACAGATTCACTGCTTATCCTAAAGAGGCGGCTGGAGAGGGCACTGGATGCTACTGAGGTTCCTTATGCCATCGTCACTGATAATTTGACCTGCAGAGCAAGAAGACTTGGAGCAGCCTTGGTCAGAGACACAGTGGAAGATGAACTGCTCAAGGTCAGTAGATTCTTAACATTACTACATTTAAGATTTATTTTAGTAAAAAAAGAGCCCATATATCAATAATTAAACTGGCTCATACAAATAAACATGATGTTTCTTAAATAATTCTACATGTTTAACCTTTTTATTACTAATGCAGTATGGAAATGAGAAAAACAAATATGAAGTCTGTGATCCTTAAAGTAACACTAGATACACTTTTGACCCAAGTATTACCTTACTTTGAGATATAATAAATTCATTTTTTGAGTCAATATACAGCGCTTGGTGCATCTGTACAGGCTACACTTCAAAAAACGTAACTTGAGAGGGCCAAATAGGTCACTGAATTAGTCATGTGATTCAGTGTGCCACTTTAAAGTGCTAGACCTCTATCACAACCCGATCCGTCCCGAAAGCATGATATGTACCATCAGCTGGTTTGCGCATGCGCAACCAGATATACATAAATAATGTAATTCCATAAATAATGTAATTAATTAATAGTTAACATTAATACTTATTTATGTCCTTAACTCACTAATGAATGCTAGTATGCATCTTTAAAAATGTTTTATTACTTTTCTGAGACAATTTTAATTATTTTTAAATCTTCGTCAAATTGCTTGTCTGACGTCATCATCAGACATGTTCAGAGTAGTCCTGCAAAATATGATTAAGCCATATTTATCTGCATTTTAGCTGGTTCGTTCTTTAGGTCACAATATATATGATAATGTTAACAGGAAAGGAAAACATAAAAGTCAAAAAGACTAGATTTATGTTTAAATCCAAAGCTGAAAAAATTAGCTCCGGGAAGTAGCGTAAGATCCCGTTCAGATCAGGCACAGATGTGTGATAAAACAGAAAGAGTTTTAAGGCATTTATTATCTCAAGAAATACATTATTAACCTTTAACACATTATAGTTACTACGCTTACTATTTTACATAAAATTGAGGGTGACCAAAATGTTTATCTGTTTTCGCATGCACCAATGAGCTGATGGTACGGATCGTGCTTCTGGGACGGATCAGGTATTGACAACCTGGAAGTTACAGCGCTCCTAGTGGCCTTGTTAGCCCAATATTTTTTAGGATAAATTTTTGGTTATTCACTTTTTTAATAAAATTCAAACAGTAATTCAAAGTTTAAGGCTTCAATTACTTAAACCCTTTTTATATTTTGATAAAATAATCTGTTGTCTTGAAAATATTTAGTTAATTATTTCTTTCCACTTCTTCACAACTTTCTCTAAGTTTCTCTAAATAATTAAGCTTGAAAATCAGGGATGTCCCGATCAATACTGATATCAGAAACCAGCCTGATAAAAGAAAACAAAATCAGAATATATCAGAAAGCAGCTAACATTTCCAATATCAGCATACTGGTAGGGATACACTGCATATTTGTGCTTCAGTTTAGAGTTTATGCAGCCAATTGATGTGTAATCCATGGCAGTTGTTCTCATAACTGATATTATTGACTGCTATTAATTTTTTCATTTATATCTCTTGATCAAGCTTTTTTATAAGATTCCAAAATACAAAAAGTGTAATAAATGTATGAATGATTTGTGGTATCAGTTTAAGTCAACATCGGAATTGGTCAATACTTAAAGCTTTAATATTGGTATCACATCAGAACAAATCAGTTTGGGTTTGGACATCCTTACTGAAAATCCTGAAATAACACAACAAGAGCAAGTTGAACATGTTGCTTTACGTGTCTTTTTAGGAGGTGGAATTGATCAAGAGCATTCAGGCTCTTCTGAAGAAAACTGCAGCTCAGGTTGTTGCTCAGATCAAGTGAGTATACTGGCTCCTTCCTTAGTTTATAGCCTATTGATTTTAAAGAGCAAAAGCTTAATGCATTGTTTTCTGTGAGTCAGGAGGAACAGATCCGCACAGCAAACACTGGAGATGGATTGGTCTGATAAATATCAGGCCTATAACTTTGACGACACCAGTGGAAGACATAGTAACATGAGTCCAGATACACAGAATCACCAAAGCTCAGCCACCATGCAGAAGCAGTGAGTCTAACTCTGACCAAATGTCAAAGATATGTCCAACTTTAACAAACACAAGGTTTCTTTTGGTTTATTTCAGGGTGTCTAACCCCTCATCATGGACAAAGTTTACTCAAGACAACCTGTCTCAGGCCTTGCAGGAGGAACAGGCCACCAACAGTCTAAGGTCAGAGTTGCGTTGGTTCACTCAGATTTCCATCCACTGTTGAAAAAAAGAAATGTGACTGTACTTGTGTGTGTCAGAATGCTTGTGGAGCAAATGCTGCAGGACACCACTGAGGATCTGAGCGTTCAATGCTCCAATGTGGATCGAGCCTTTAGCCTGCACTGCGATGAACTAATTGAGGCCAAGACCCAGCTGGAGATGAAGCTAACTCAGGTACATGAATAGACACACAGGAAATTGACTGGCTGGTTACATGTAATTGATTGCTTTATTGTTCTTGTAGATATTGGCGCAGATTGGGGGTCAGGAGAGGAACATTGAAGCTCTCCAGCAGGCCATCCACAACAAAGAGGCACCACTGAGAGTGGTTCAGTCCAGACTTTATCTGCGCTCTCTCAGACCAGCCATGGAACTCTGCAGGGATCAAGCCCAGCTCAGGTAGATGGACACCAACAGCAAATACCTCTATATTCTTTTCCTCTGTGTCCATATCCGCACTTTATCTGTTTCTGCAGTTTGGAAGGAGAAGTGAGGCTGATTGATGCTACCTTGGAGTCTCTGAAGAAGAAACTGAGTGAAGCCAGAGGTTCTCTCTCCCATCTGGAAGAGTCAAGGATGGCTCTTCAAAAGGACATCAACTGTAAAATAAATTTGCTGTTTATTGATAGGGAAAAGTGCATGACTCACCGTAAACGATACCCATCTATCTCAGCACTATCAGGATACTGAACATAACTGCTATTACTTGCAGATCGTTCCTCCACTTTGCTACATGTTGTTATCATGGTAGTGAAGTACAAAATACAGTCTTCCAGAAGAGATGTTTTTCTTTACATGAATTATTAACCTTTATCTTCTTTCTAAGTCAGGATTTATATTTAATCACTGGCCAAAGCAGAACAGAAAGTCTACCTTATAGCATCATCCAGTACATTTTGCATCGCGCAGTTATTTAAACTTTAATGACAAACAGCCTTAATTACCAATTTTTTTTTAAAGTAGCCAGAGAAGAAATTATTTTAGGTATTTTGTTATGAAAAAGTTTACCTTACGCAGTAGAGGCTTTTGCAAGTCACTTTATTGACATTAGTTAGCAGCGAGGTATCTTGCTAACGTGTAGCTTAGGTGAAAATTAAATCTGGAAGACTTTTCTCTGCCTCACCTGAACAAACCGGCTGATATCCTTCAATCAAGCTTCAGCCAATCAACTTGATGCTGCACCTCCTCTGAGACCAATCATCTTTCTAGATCTCCTTTATTTACCTTCAGGCCAAGACTCCCTCTTCCCACCTCTGTCACTCTCAGGCTGTTCTCAGTCCCACTTATCCTCTGGCTGATCCACTACCAGTGTCCAAGCCCTGTGGGGGAAGACTATTCTAATCTTTTTCCTAGGTCCTCATTCAAGCAAATGTCAGTGCAGAACAACAAAGTCTTCTCCTGGGACCAGAGCATCTAAAGGATTTATTTCATTCATATAATTAAAAATGTTGTAAGATGTGAAATATAAAAAATAAAAATATTAAAATGTAAAAACAGATTTTGTCATGGTTTTGATTCTGTTTAAGTTTTATTTTTGAGTTATTATTGGTTTTATTTCCATTTTTGTGTTCTTCCAGTTGTATTTGAGTTCTTATATATTTCTTGTTTAGCCTCTGTGTCCTATGTCAGTCTCCTTTTCCTTGCTTCTGTCCACACCTGTTCCCCATCTGCTAATTGGTTCTATCTCTCCCATTTATACAGCTCCTCTTCAGTTACTGTTCGCGGGTTCCTTGTTTCTTTACCCTCATGTGTGTTTCCCCTGACATCTTCTAGTTTTTGGTTTTCTGTATTTTATCTTTGGTTTTTAGCTGCAGTTGCACCGTTTTGAATTATTATATCTGCAAGAAACCACTTTAGCTTCCGTCTGTGCATTTGGGTCCTCTTAAACCTCAACCAAACCTTACAGATTTTGTACATTGAAATTTAAAAAGAAAGGAAAGAAATCCCTAATAAAACCTTAACAAACATTTTAATCCCAGGTTTTTACGGTAACTTTGTTTTCTAAATTTCCCTTCTTCTTGTCTTTGCCAAACTTTTTTTTTTTTTTTTTATCATTTTATATTTCTTTTTTACAGATGATATATTTTGAGTTTTGTATGCAAACTTCTGTATCTCAGGTTTTCGGATTACAACAGATCACTTTCTTCACTTTTTGTAGTGGGCTTTCCTCTGGCATGAGAGCGAAGTTTAATTTCTATTTGTGTGCATGGAAACTACTTTATTGGTCAACGTGCGCAACAGTAATGGAACAATATTCAGTCTATACACAGACCGGATAATTATAGTACCTGCATGTATTCTGTCCTCTGGATTATTGTTGTACTGTAGGCAATGGACAGCTTATTTTCCCAATTTTCAAAATATCTGCTCCTGTGAGATAACTATTTTTTTTCCTAAGAAAAGTTTTCCAAATTTTTGAGAAGTTAGTCAGTTAGTTTCTTAGTTTTAAATCAATGCTTTATCTTTTCAGACAATAAACACACATTTACATCCAAATAGATTGCTCATATTCTAGTTGTGCTAAACTGTGTATCATATTTGGCAATACAGATATATAAGGTGATTTAAAACTGAACTGTCATGTAACATATTTTGGAAAGTAATTTATATTATACCTGCCACAATTTACTCATCATTTGTTTAATCAATAATTACTGTTAAATGTTCTTTCACAATAGAAATTATTCTTAAACAACAATTATGGTGTATTGAACAGTTCTTTATATGTCAAGAAGACTGGAGGGAAAAAAAAGGAGAAATAGGGAGTACTTTGTAAATGTCATCAACATAAAAAATGATGGCAAGTCAAGTGACAGAACAGTAAGTAGTAAGAATCAGTAATTCTACAGAAGTGACCAGCTGAAGCTGAAACCTAAAAATAGTCCAATTGCACTGTGAAGAACCCAAGCTTCGGTAGGCATTCTCTCACAAGTGCACGGACGATCAAAATCAAGTGTTGTTGACCACTATGTTCTGCAGAAGAGACTCAAACATGACCCTGTGAAAGACAAAGCTGTAGTGTGATAGAAAATGACAGAAAGGCAAGCACTGCACTGATAATCACTTTTCACATGTCCACTGTAAAAAAGACATGTGAAATTAACAGCAAAGTTCTTAGAAATAAAAATTTTCTGATTATCTTTGGTGGATAAGTCCAACAGCACAGAACCCTTAATGATTGCCCCAGAAATCTTTTACTCCACTAGAGGGAGATCTTCAGCTTCAATGTTGCTTCTCTTCCTCAACGTGGTCATCTTTTCCTCATCTTTAAAGATACCATAAAATTGAGAAGAGCTGTCTAAATCTAAAAACAAACATAACTGTAATATTGGACAGAAAGATTTTTCTATTTGATCAAAATGATTTCAGTGTCTTTCAGGGAATCTAACTTTAATAATACCTTAACTGCTACTTCTAGAATTCTGCTAATCTACAGTTGGGGCTGAAGAATCATCAATTTATGTTTTGTTCGCAGGTTGAAAATAGATTAGAACTGAATTAACTTTTAGTCTGAAGGTAATACTTAACACATAGAAGCACTGATTATATATCCCAGTGGAAGAAATCCTGAAGAAAGTTTCTCTATTCTTAGAAAGGTTTTGCTGCAAGTCAGGAGGTGCCACGACTGAGGATGTTATGAAACTCCGTTTTATGCACACATGTACCGGGCAGTCACTGGGTTTGTGCTTAGCACATCTTACGACATCCCCTACAGTGAGCACAATTTATAACGGTGGATATATGTGCGTATGGATGCACTGGTTTGGAATTGATTAAAGAGCTGAAGAGGCTCAGTGGTAAAAACTTTAAAAGTTTATTTAGACTAAGACTGACCATGGCTTAGAAAAGGTGGTGAAATATTTCAATAAAGGAATAAAACAAAAAGTGTAGTCTTTTATAGATTTGCTTCACATGTACATTTCCAGCCATGTGACCAACTCACAGGTGGCTGGTGTAAAACTTTATTCAAATGATGTAAATATACTAGCATTATTTAATTATTGTACAATTATTTTTGATTAAAAAAAATACTCCCTGTGCATATTTATGGTTTTTTTTTTTAAGTAAATGGTTATTTTCTATTTTACAGATTTTCCTCTAAAGCGCAGTGTACAATGGAAAGGAGAAACGTGACTGCAGTGCAAAGATGAGGGGGCAGAACTGTTTAAATGAATAAAAATAGGAGGGATTGATGAAGTTACAAGATCTGAGGGAGTGACAGAAAAAGAAAGAGGGAGGGAAAGAGAAGAACAGTAACACAAGCAGGACCAAAGTCCCAGTTTTCTCTCCCTTCTTTCTCCCAGTGACTCCAGGGTGAGATCTACAGATAGGTGAGTTACACCTCAGCATGGTGCACTTTATTGTCTTTACTTCTACTTTTGTCTAATCTAACCTTTAAAATTATAAATGTCGAATGTTTTTAGCTTTATTGATTTGGATCTGTTTAAGTGATTTAATGACAGCTTTTTAACTACCCTTCTCTTCATAAATTTGGACTAGATTTTATTTCTGCAGTTTTGCATAAAAAATATATAAATAACAATTAACTGATGCATTTAATCAGATGCATTTTAGAGTCTCATTAGTCATTCATTTCTTTTCTTTTTTCAGTTTTTGTCCTTATATCATTCAAGGTAGAGCATCATTAAGTACATAATTTCTAATTAACCAAAGCATTTCTTTATAGGCTGCATGTTTTTAGTTTTATTATAGTGTGTGACAAAAAAAAAAAAATCTTTATGACAGTATTTATTTGCTTTTGTGTCTGTTGGCTAAATACGAGCAGCTAAACTGGAGGGTTTGTGGCAAGCCAGAATTTCCGTTGGCTGGATGAAGAGACTACTTTTAGCTTTGGTTATTACACCCTGCACCCTGACTGGTCCAGACTGCCTCTCAGAGCTTCTGTCCTTCAAATGACCGATTATTTTAAATAAAGGAAAAAAAACACAATCCATAAATCTTTCAACTTACTGTGGAGCATCTCATCAAGGTTTTGAGAAAAGTTTCTAATTATATGCTTGCAGGGTGTGGAATGTGAGCTCCATGTCTGTGCATTATTTCAGGATTTTTGTGGTTACTTATTCATATTTATTTGGGGTCCCCAGCTTTTTTTATTTGCACACTTCCATCAGCCCTCCTTCACACCTGACTCTGTCTCTCTGTCTCTACAGCCAGCATGCTGTCTCTCAGCTCCCTCTGCATCCTCCTTGTCCTGCTTCTCCTCCATCCTCCACAGCTGTATGCGCAGGATGTGCTGGTACGTCTTGCAGGCGTGGGTCGGAGAAATGCAAATGAGGGACGTGTGGAGGTGTTCTACAACGGCGTGTGGGGCACTGTGTGCGACGACGAGGTGGACATTAAACTTGCCAACGTGCTGTGTCGGCAGCTAGGCTTCGAGCGCAGCTTCACCTGGGCACACAGTGCCAAGTTTGGCCAAGGGCAAGGTAGAGCCAATAAGAATGCAGTAAATTGTTCATAAGCAGTGATTTCAAAAGTATTTAGAAGCAAATACATAGATGTCACTTAATAACTATAGATTTAAATGGATTTAATTTTGTTTTTATGTCTGTTAAAAAAAAAAAGGAAATTTGTTGGGTGAAAGAAAAATGACACATGGTAGGACTGAAAATATTGGAGTAATTTGTGTGTCTCTACGAGCATTTGGTCACCTAGATACTCTTTGAAATAATTATTTTTGTAATCTTAAACTTAATTCTAATTGGATGAAGTGTTGGACTTTTGTGCATTTTGATCCTTCCATTGTAAAAGTATACCAAGCTGGCTGGTGGTTCAGGATCATCCAAATATTCCTTCTGCTTTTCTTTTATCAATGGCTTTCTTCTTTTTTCGAAATCTTCTTAGATTAATGTTCTACTTTTTACCTTAGGCAGGTTTTAAGTTATGCCATACTCCTCCCATTTTCAGAATACAGATTGATCAGTGTCTAATTGAACTGCCATTTTTTTTATAACCCAGCCCTGCTTTAAATACATCTACTGTACAAATGTCTTCCCAACCTGTGTGTTATGTCAAATGTTCTTCATGAAATTGTTCTCCACTGCTCCCTTTCATACCTCAGAGGCCTTGAAAAATAAAATGGATTTTGATGCAATTTGAGACTGAATTCCACACTGGTGGCCTCTTTGTGCTATCTAGACAACCTCATGTGGTTGCAGATGTTTTTGTTTTTTTAATCATCAGTAAAAAAAAAAAGTCCTGAAAACCATGAGTTGTTTTTCATGCACTTTAGAATCTTACTTTTTAACAGTGTTCCAAAAAAGTGTTGCATATGTAAAGTTGTAGCCAAGCACTTTGATTACTTTCTGTGCTTTGTTTTATAGGTCAGATCTGGTTAGACAATGTGCGGTGTCAGGGCTCAGAGGTCTCTGTTGCACAGTGTCAGTTCAGCGGTTGGGGCATCAATGACTGCACCCACGCTGAGGACCTGGGTGTCATTTGCAGCCCAGAAAGAAGACCTGGCTTCCCCCCTGTCA